AAAAGCACACCAAAAACCTCCAAAAACGCCACAAACCACACACCAAGCCTCACCGAACGTCTCCTTGCTACCGTGATCTCACCCATAGGAAGCCACGACCACGTGGCAGCAGGGAAAATGGCCACAGATCCGGTTCGTAACCTGAGGCGGAGTTCGCAACCCGAGGTAAATTTTTGGGGCCGGAGCTGGTCGTAACCCGAAAAGTTCGTTAACAGAGGCGTTCGTAACCCAAGGTACCACTGTATTGCATTAATGCTCCTTCTTTGATAGGAAGTTCAGTTTCTCATTAAGTAATACTTGGTAATGTAATTTTTAATTGGTGTCAGTCATTTTCTATAGCTATTTCAGTTTGAAATATGTTATTTTTATATGCATATCCACAGCTTAAAAAACCCTATTTGCTTTGTTTTATTATGTAGTTCCATGCTATGGATACTTTGCATAAGAATGTCTATGACATTTCCAAGGCAATCTCTGCCCTTGTGCCACAGGGTGGGCCTGTTTTATGCAGGGATGAGATGGAGGAGTGGTCTGCTTCTGAAGCAAATCTCTTTGAAGAAGCCCTTGAAAAATATGGAAAGGATTTCACTGATATTCAGCAAGATTTTGTAAGTAAACAAAAATCTTTGCATGTCCAAAAAAACATGATACCTTTCTTCAGTTAGACAACTTTTAATACCTGCTATGTAATCCTCGTCAGATTCATAGCACACAAGTCAGCAGTATGGTGAACAGGTTATACTGCTAATTGAGTAGAATCAAGCCACATTCTTAATTCAGATAAAATGCACATTTGTGTGGAACTTCTAATCTTTTAATTGTACATCGCCCAGAGTCACTTTGTGTGAGATGGGCAGCTATATAAATAAGATAAATGAATAAGTAAAATCTTTGGCTGTTGTAATTGTTTTTCCTACTGTAATTGAATTGGAATTTTCTCTTAATTGAATATTAGGTCTGCATTAGTATTTGCCAAAAATCTTATGAAATCTCTTAAGAGCGCTTTATGCAGTCATGTGAAAAAGAAAGTACACCCTCTTTGAGTTCTATGGTTTTACGTATCAGGACATA